TCCTTCCATCCATCCATCCATCATCCATCCATCCATCCATCCATCCATCCATCCATTCATCCATCCATCCTTCCATCATCCATCCATTCACCTGTTCATCTTTCCATCCATCCATCCATCCATCATCCATCCCTACGTCCATCCATCTATCTCCATAAATACCTGACAGCAATAACTTAAGCAGACCCTGGGAATGACCTTTATGGCAGATGCACCTGAATATATGTTCTAGGCTAGGGAATCCAGGAGTGGCCAACTGGAGATTCTTTCCTTGTCATCTGAGCCCCTGTCCTGTCCTATGGAACACAAGCTGTAGAGAGGATCGAACCCTTGAGTTTTGGGTTGCATGAAGGTTGCTAGGCGTAGAGTGGAGGTTGTTAGGGAGAGGGTGTTAAAAGATGCTATATAAGCTCTATGCCTTTCAAAAGCAGTTGCAGTTATCCAGGCCAGGCCTCCATCACTGGACTCTGTCTTGTATGTAACACCCCATGTCTCATTTGCTCTGTCTCTGGGTCTCTTCTTTCGCCTCTTGAACCTGGTGGCATCCCCACTGGAATCAATAGGGGTTTGGCACAACAGGTGTCTCCCTGATTTCTTTGTATTCTCCTAGCCAGCATTTTCCCTTGGTCAGGACCTCCCTCTTGTTTCTCTTTCCCTTTCTCAGCACTGATTAGGTCATTATTATAAAGATCTTGCAGGTAGGGTTTTAATTAAAAACAACAGGGTTTTCTAAGTGGGTTCCATGATGGGCCATGTGATCAGAAAGCCTTTATCATAGTTTTATGGATGATAACATCAGGCACAGCCATCATTCAAATATACAGGGGTTGTTTTGAAAGAGAAAAAAATGAGTCTGTTTTATTTGATCATCTGCAAACCAGTAACAGACCAAGTTCCAGGCACTGAACAATCAGCAAGTGACAAGATTGACAAGGCTGCATGGTTCACCTGGGAAGGGCAGTCAGCCAGGACCCATCTCCATTTTCCTCTAGGTTTGCCAGTCTAGTAGTGGCCCTCAACCTGAATGGCAGCAATTTAATAAAAGAAATTGTCCTCCCACAGAACTGGAACCCAAATGTTGCCACACAGCCAGAAATTTCAGGAGTGCTTGGAACACTTACATAGTCAAAGGTCCTGCCCACCTGGCCTCTCAGTCGAGGCCAGTTCCCTCCTACCCCTCCCCTCTGCTTTCTGGTTTTAGGAACTGTCCTTTTCCCCACTCCTGATATTTTGCTTGAGACCAGCACCTCTCTTCTCTGTTCTTCTCCCCAACATCCTGTTTCAGAAAACAACACGCTGCCTGTGTCCTTAGAGGCTCACTCGCAGCCCTTTTCTGCCAGTGCAGCAGACAGCTGTTGCACTCACATTGGCTTCGCTTCTGTGAGAATCCCCTCCATCTCGCTGCGTAAATAGAATGCATCCGGAGAAAACCCCAGGCAAAGTGGCACAGGTGCTGAGAGTCAGAAGTAGGGCAGGCAGGCACTGAAGTGGTGAGTTCCACAGGGATGACGGCAGGCACACCATATGTGACAGATGCACAGTGTCCTCAAAGCTGCATCACGAGCTGTCCTGGGCTTCACACTCACTCAGGCTTGATGGAAATCCTATTTTTCTTTCAATCTTATGAAATAGTTCAGAGGAATTCTAATAGATCTCTTTCTGAAAAACTGTACATGCATTTTATGATGATAATGATTATTACTGTCATTATTATTATGATCGATAGAGACAGGGTCTTATCATATTGCCCAGGCTGGTGTCCAACTATTGGGCTCAAGCGATCCCCCCGCCTCAGCCTCCTGAAGTGTTGGTATTACAGGTGTGAGCCACTGTGAATGGCCCAATATTACTGTTGTCATTACTGTTATTATTTTGCTTAGGCTGTGTATTAGTCAGAGTTCTCTAGAGGGACAGAACTAACAGTGTGTGTGTATATATATATATATACACACACACACACACACACACACGTATACACACATATATACACACACACATATATATGTATATGTACACACACACACACACAAATAAAGGAGAGTTTATTAAGTATTAACTCACACGATCACAAGGTCACACAATAGGCCATCTGCAGGCTGAGGAGCAAAGGGAGCCAGTTCAAGTCCCAAAACTAAAAAACTTGGAGTCTGACGTTTGAGGGCAGGAAGCATCCAGCACAGGGGAAAGATGTTGGATGGGAGGCTAGTCCAGTCTAGCCTCTTCACGGTTTTCTGCCTGCTTTATATTCTAGCCGAGCTGGCAGCTGATTAGATGGGGCTCACCTAGATTAAGGGTGGGTCTGCCTTTCCCAGCCCACTGACTGAAATCTTAATCTACTCTGGCCACACCCTCAAAGACACACCCAGGATCAATGCTTTGCGTCCTTCAATCCAATCAAGTTGACAGTACTCACCATCAGAGGCTGGTTAAAGTTGGTTACCTTTGCGGGTAGAACCTCTCACAGTACAGCTAGTTTGAGTAATGAATGGGTGAGGAAAACTTGGCTCACTTGAAGATGGTTCAAGTGATTTCTACCACACAGTATGTCCCCTAAGTGAAAGACACTAACATCATGAACACTTCCCACGAAATATGCTTTTCCATTTAGATCCTACAGGGCAAGCCCATTCCAACTCTCTTCATCACAGGGTATGAGAAGTAAGAAACAAAACGTAGGTATGAACATATGTTGAACATGATCAAACTTAAAAGGCAAACACATTGGGAAAAAAGTAGAGTTGCCACATATCTGAGGTTCAAAGACAGCCTTGATCTATCAAAATATGCAAAAATGAAAATTCCAAAAGGAAAAAGATATATGCATACTCGATTAACATACGAAAATCTGTTAGCAAAGAAAAGCAAATTAAAATGGCAGGTCCCTACGGCCAACAACTATCACTTGGGAAAAATGTATCAAAATGATAAAGCCCACTGCTGGTGCAAACATTGAAGATGGCCTCTCCTGCCCTCTGCTGGTGGGAATTTAAACTACAGTAGTATGGTAAGTCCTTTCTGGAGCTTGTTTGAAAATATCAATCAAAAGTCTTTAAAATGGCCGGGCGCGGTGGCTCAGGCCTGTAATCCCAGCACTTTGGGAAGCCAAGGTGGCTGGATCACAGGTCAGGAGATCGAGACCATCCTGGCTAACATGGTGAAACGCCGTCTCTACTAAAAATACAAAAAATTACCCAGGCATGGTGGCCGGTGCCTGTAGTCCGGAGTACTTGGGAGGCTGAGCTGGGAGAATGGCGTGAACCCGGGAGGCAGAGCTTGTAGTGAACACAGATGGCGCCACTGCACTACAGCCTGGGCGACAGAGCAAGGCTCTGTCTCCAAAAAAAAAAAAACAAAAGAAACAAAATACAAAAATTAGCTGGGCATGGTGACATGCACCTGTAGTCTCAGCTACTCCGGAGGCTGAGGCAGGAGAATTGCTTGAACCTGGGGGGCAGAGGTTGCAATGAGCCGAGATCGTGCCACTGCACTCCAGCCTGGCAACAGAGGAAGACTCTGTCAAAAAAAAAAATAAAAATAAAAAAAATAAAAAGTCTTTAAAATGTTTGCATCTTTTGATCTAGTGATTCCAATGCTATAGCTTTTACCAGGGGAATAATCACAGCTGTGTAGAAAGAGACACACATTTTTATTGTGTTTTTATACAATGAATGAAAGACCTTTCTAAAACTAGCTTTCTTCTTGGAATGAACAGTATCCCAAATGATAGATATTAACATTAACATTTACTGAGCAGTTCCCACATGCCAGGTGCTTTCTAAGAGCTTTACCTGTATTCTCATTCCTGGAGGTGCTCATAGAATACCTGGGGACCAAGGGGGCAGCTACATGGCACAATGAGAGAACAGGGTGGTACTGGTCTGGCCTCAGAGTTGCAAGTAACAGAAAACAACTGAAATTAAAGTTAATTTGAAAAACAAAAGGAAAATTTAACCATCTGTAAAGTCTCAGCAACGGATAATAACAGTTAAGATTTATTGAGAGTTTTCTATGGCCTGCTCTAAGGACTCTGCATGTATTAATACTTTTAATCTTTACCCAATCCTGTGAGGTGGATATTATTCTTAACCCCATTTTGCAAGTGAGGAAACTAAGGCAAAGAGTGGATAAGACGCTTGCTCAAGGTTGGAAGAGTCAGTAATGACAGGACCGGCAATGACAGCCAGGCAGGCAACTAGCTCCAGAGCTCAGTTCCTTAACAGGGTTAGCTAAGGCTTAGCTAGATCTGGGAGGTGGTGCAATGCTACCAAGACCTCTTAGCTTGCCTCTCAGCGCTTTCTGCCCACGTGGGCTCCCCTGTTTCCAGAACAGTAGCCCCAAGCCCAAACTGACCTCACAGCTCACCATATCAAAGCAACCGTGAACATCTTCCCAGCCTAAGACCTGGACTATAAGAGGTCTGTTTTGGGTCTTGTACCCTCCCCTAGGACAGGGTCAGTCTCTGGAAACTGAGCAGGACCACTATAGAAAGCAGTAGTGGTTTCTCAGAGGAAGGGTTGTAGGCAGACACGTGTATGTCCATATTGAAGACAAGTTAGCTGTGCTCAAGGACCTGCTATGTGCTCGGTGTTTGCAGGGCACTGGGGGATACCAAGACATGGTTGGTTCTCCCAATCAACTGGGGGAAACACAGGCAAAAGGAAAAGGGCAATAAAGCTTGGTAATTCTCGGAAGAGAGACATGAACAAAGAGTAGCTGGAACCCAGGGACAAGGGAATACTGATCAAGGGGTGAACAGGTGCCAGATCTTGACAGCCCGGCAGGCCAAATCAAGGAGTAGTGAATAGTAACTATTGATGTTTGGAGGCAAACTATATATGCCAGGCACTAAGCTAAACGATAAACATGTATCTTCACTCCAATACCTGATGTTTCACAGATGAGCAAAACTGATACTCAGAACAATAAAATAACTTGCCCAAGGACCCACAGTGATGGAGGCAGGATTCAACAGTCTATAAACACCTTGGATTTCACTATGTTGCTAAGGGGAGGCCAGCAAAGGTCACAATGAAATTCATTGTTTCCCACAAGTAATCCACATTGAAAATGAAAACGTCTTAATTGGTGGCAAATCTGGTATCACATATCTATCTATAATTAGGGTGCCACAGTACACACATTGAAGGGTTTCTATTCTTTTTCTTTCTTTTTTATTTTTTTGAGAGAGAGTTTCACTCTTGCTGCCCAGGCTGGAGTGAAATGGGCGGTTGTGGCTCACTGCAGCCTCCACCTCCTGGGTTCAAGCCATTCTCCTGCCTCAGCCTCCCAGGCAGCTGGGATTACAGGCGCTTGCTACCACGCCCAGCTAATTTATTTATTTATTATTATTTTTTTAGTAGAGATAGGGTGTTTCACCATGTTGGCCAGGCTGGTCTCAAACTCCTGACCTCAGGTGATCCACCCGCCTCGGCCTCCCAAAGTGCTGGGATTACAGGCGTGAGCCACCGCACATGCCCAAAGGGCTTCTTTAATGGACCTCAGAAATGAAGATGTGGTCATTAAATACTGGAATTTTTCCAACCTGCTTTTAAGTATCAATATGGCATGCAAGTAGTGCCATTTAAAATTGCAGAGAAAAAAACTCTGGAAGGATTTCAGATCCAAATTCAAAGGCCCCGAAACCACAAAAGGAGAAACCTGATCTGACCTGAACATACCATGTATGGGAACCTGGGATAGCGGGGATGCTCTTGGGAGTATTCAGTTACCAGGGAGGCCCTGCACTGACCCTTTTTCGAGGAGACAATCAACAGAAGATTGTATTTGATGGGACAAATTCACTTCCTGTTAACAAGGCTTCTAACCCTGTACGAGAGAGAGAAGAAGGGAGGGCAAAGACTTTAGTTGGCTTTGAAGAAACAAATCCAGTTCTTTAGGAGTCTTGAAAGAAAGAAAAAAAAAAAAAAAACAGAAAAAAAAGGAGGTATTGTTTAGAAAGGCCATATGATCCACCCAGCTTTTAAATCCTGTGCTCCAAAGGGTGAAGAAAGGCTGAAGAAATGATAAATCAGTAGATTTGGTACTTCTCTCTCTCTCTCTTTTTTTTTTTTTTGAGATGGAGTCTCGCTCTGTTGCCCAAGCTGGAGTGCAGTGGCGCGATCACTGCAACCTCCTTCTCCCAGGTTCAAGCGATTCTCCTGCCTCAGCCTCCAGAGTAGCTGGGATTACAGGTGCTGGCCACCACGCCTGGCTAATTTTTGTATTTTTAATAGAGACAGAGTTTCGCCATGTTGGCCAGGCTGGTCTCGAACGTCTGACCTCGTGAATCACCCGCCTTGGCCTCCCAAAGTGTTGGGATTACAGGCATGAGCCACCGCACCCAGCTGGCACTCTTTTCTTGAGTATTTATTACTTTCCTTTTACAAACACCCCAACACATAGTAGATATTAAACAGTGCCTACTAATTCAAATTTTACTTCCTATGTAGCTCACTGGCTCTCCACCCCTGTATTCAATCCACCTGAAATCACTCTCCCTGCTCTCCCACACTCCAGCAGAATAAACTGCCCTTTACATGTACAGTGCTTCTATTATGCCCCATGTACAGTGTTTCCATTATGGCACTGTATTGAAGCTGCTTCCTCTACTAGATTCTTACTTCTGTCCTCACCACTTTATCACATGCAGCCGCTCAGAAAATGTTGGCTATACTGATAAAGTGCTTTCACAAATTTATAAATACAGAGTTACCTTGTAGTACACCTCTGTGGTTTTCTTTGGACCAGGAGCTCCTCACGTGCAAGGCCATGTCTTACTCATCTTTATCTCCACTGCTGGCATGGTGCCTAACAGCTCCTAGCAAATAGTAGGTGCTCAGCAAACGTTTGCGTGGTTAAGCCCACCATTTCTCAGTACATGACTCGGTGGGAAAGAGTTGGGAGAGTAATACGCGGGATTACTGACGGAGAAAAAGTTGTGACCTCGTAACACACAGTTCGTGGGCGTGAGTAGTGTGGAAAACGGAAGTTTGCTGGGAAAGTAATTTAGTTCCCTCGGTTCAGGCTGGGAGGATTTTTCACAAGTGGCGAGGAGAAGGCTCACGTGAACCACATACAGGTGCTTCTCACTGAAACGCACAACAAATCTAGAGCCAAGTGTAATAACGAAACGGGCCCCAAGAAGTTTATTTAATGCCCAGGGGTCCTCAAGTGGTCACTGCCAGGCTCTAGCATCCTGTCCAGCAGGCCTTTCTCCTCCTTTCAAATCTTGCTGGGCGACTCCTGAAAAGCAAAAGTAGGAAAGAAACTGGGGGCTGAGGATGGAGGCCCGGACAGAGGGTATCTCTCCTGCTCTGGCACCCGGGAGTCTGCGAGGGCTTCGGAAGCGCAGCGTCTCACGGTCTCGCATCCCGGACCTGGACGCATCCTGCGGCAGCGGTAAGACTGGTCCTTCTGCGCTTCCATAGGTGGGAATAAGCTTGGGAACCTTTCGACCCGGAAAGCTCAGTGTTTTAAAATTCAAATCGCACCTGCCGACGTGAGAGCGAAACCCTTCAGGCCGACTCAATCCTAGCTGCTCGTTAACTAAAAGCGCGAAGAGAACACAGTCTCCAATCCAAACGCCAAGAGGCCCAACTCCGGAGCCGACGCCGGAAGCGCTCTACCTGACGTCACTTCCGTCGCGTTTTGGGGCGGTACCAAGATGGACTCTTCACGGGCCCGGGAACAGCTCCGTCGGCGATTCCTTCTCTTGCCGGACGCCGAGGCCCAGCTGGACCGCGAGAGTAACGCCAGGCCGGGTGAGGCGCGCACCAAGCCGCCCCGAGGTTCTCAGAGGCGAGGCGCTGGAAAATGGCCGGCCTCCGGCAGCCCCGGCCCAGTCTGAAGGGACCGAGCTTCGGTTTTGCAAGTCGAATATTTGATGTCAGGGAAGATCCTTACAATCGCGTAGTGCTGTGCATCGTCATCTCAGCTGCGCTTCAGAATTCTCTGGAGAGCTGATTTGACACCTGTTTGGAAATATCGGTTAAAATTAAAAATACCCACCGGTTCTAAGTCTTAAGAATTTACCGGAAACATGCCTGTATCGCAGTGTACAATGATGTGCGCAGTGTTTCACCTCTGCATTGCTTGCAATAGCGAATCACTAGAAATACTTGTCTTGCCCGTCAGCAGAAGGCTGGTTAAGTAAATTTGGATATGTGTATACATGACACGCCAGGTCGACTTGTATGTACCAATGGGGATGATTTTCAAAGGGAAGTGCGGAACACTATGGTATGCCGCCATTTGGGTACAAAACAGGTAACCTGTGATGTATGTTCACCTGTAGGTGCATAGAATAATGGAAGAATTCAGTAGAAATTGTAAGTGGTGGTTGCTTCTGGGGATTAGATCTGAGGTTAAGGATGGGAGTCAGATACCTCATTTTGGATATTTGTAACCCATATGTTTTAAAACCGTGTCCATTTATTACCTTTTCAAAATAAACATGAATTACCTGATGCCCAGGCATGATGATGTATACATTTTGAGGATATTCCAGAATATTATGAACATGCTTCGTAGGGTTTCCGATGGTCATCTAAAGGCCCAAAACCTCATATGTGGACCATTCATTCTCACGTGAACATAGAGGGCATGTCAGAATTCTCGGAAAACTTTCTAGAAATCATCCATCTGACCCAACCCCCATCCACCGTTTCTTTCGGATTGCGTTCCAGACAGGAAAAATGACTTGTCCATCACCTGTCTAGACAGGGCTGTGCTGGAACTAGAGCTCTGGTGTGCCTTTTCCACTTTTGAGCTGTGTTTAAAGTAATGATTTAGTTATAGGCTGGGCATGGTGGCTCACGCCTGTAATCCCAGCACTTTGAGAGGCCGAGGCAGCCTGATCACGAGGTCAGGAGTTCGAGACCAGCCTGGCCAAAGAGACCAGCCTGGCCAACATGGTGAAACCCGGTCTCTACTAAAAATACAAAAATTAGCCGGGCGTGGTGGCAGGCGCCTGTAATCCCAGCTACTCGGGAGGCTGAGGCAGGAGAATTGCTTGAACCCGGCAGGCGGTGGTTGCAGTGAGCTGAGATGGAACCATTCCATTCCAGCCTGGGCGACAGAGGGAGACTCTGACTCAAAAAAAAAAAAAAAATAGAATTTAGTTATAAAAGTATTCTTGAAAGACCACAAGTCCAGTTCATGTGCTACCATTTGCCTTTGGCATTTTTCCTAATCAGCAGGACTACTTTCCTAGAAGAAATGTGAAACATATTAAAATTCTTACATTTCCAGGTGGCATTGTTATTTCCGAAAGACGATGAAAATGTAAATTTGATTTCAAAATATATTTAGAGGAAATAAATTGACTGTATTTGTTAGTGGGCTCTTATTATTTTTTGTAAATATAAACCTATCTCAAGGGTTTTTTTTGTTTTTGTTTTTTTGAGACGGAGTCTCGCTCTGTTGCCCAGGCTGGAGTGCAGTGGCCAGATCTCAGCTCACTGCAAGCTCCGCCTCCTGGATTTATGCCATTCTCCTGCCTCAGCCTCCCGAGTAGCTGGGACTACAGGCGCCCGCCACCTCTCCGGGCTAGTTTTTTCTATTTTTTAGTAGAGACGGGGTTTCACTGTGTTAGCCAGGATGGTCAAGGGTTTTACAGAAGAATTTGTTATCATGGGAGAGACTCTGGTTCCTAGCTCTAGGAAATGATTTTATTTGGCTTAAATTAAGTGTAATTTTTCCTCGCAAAATTATGGTAACTTAATAAGTTGAAATCTCCCTTATTTGCAGAAACCTCCACAGCTGTTCAGAAAAAGGAGAAACCTCTTCCAAGACTTAATATCCATTCTGGATTCTGGATTTTGGCATCCATTGTTGTGACCTATTATGTTGACTTCTTTAAAACTCTTAAAGAAAACTTCCACACTAGCAGGTAAGAAAACTTTATTGCTTCATAAATTAAATGCATGTCTGATTTTTCGTGTTATATTTTGTTAGTTGAAATCTTCAAACAGTAAGCACCTACTCTGTGCCAGGCCCTGTGTTGGGGGTGCTGGTGATACGAAGATGAATATGAGATGGGGATCAAAGGGTACATATTTTTAGTTGTAAGATGAATAAGGTCTGGGGATCTAATGTACATACAGTATGGTGACTATAGTTAATAATATTGTATTGTATACTTGAAATTTTCTAAGAGTAGGTCTTGTGTCTTCCCCTGTTCCCTGACCAGTGGTAACTGAGGTGATGAGTGTGATGATTAACTTGATTGTGGTAATCATTTCACAATGTGTGTGTATATATATATATCAGGTCATCACATTGTACATCTTGAATATATAAAATTTTAATTTGTCCATTATACTTCAATAAAGATGGAAAAAATAAAACCAATGGGAGGGTGTGTGCTCTGGGCATACACAGTAGAGTGGAAGAGAACTGGAAGTTATTTTTGTGCAAATAAATATATTGTAGGATGACGAAGGTAAGAAATTTAAGAAGGACCTAATCCATTTGGGGAAAAAAGGAGGGAGAAAGACTGACTGAAGGTCTTCATGAAGACCAAGTACAAGAGTACTGGGAGGAAGGCTTGAGAACTGTGGCCGGTGAGAACCGGGTCTCAAGGTTGGTTTCAGAGGGTACTTACAGCTGACAAGGTAACTACGGGGTGTGACTGCGTTGGAGTGCAGGTGAAGGTCAGCAGTGGGAGGAGTGCGAGCTTTGTGGCCAGGCCAGATGTACAATAGTTCCTCATTCACAGGGGCTGAGATCCCTTCAGTATAGTCTCCAGAGCTGACATGGAGGAGAGGGTTGGAATCATATCCTGGGGTCCTTACTGCACATTGGAGAGTGATGTGGAGACCCTCAGATAATAAACGGAAAGGAGAGGTATGTTGGTGAGCAGCAGAGCTGGCATTGGGAGGGCTGGTGTGCTTAGGGTCAAGAGTAGTAATTTGGAAGTACCAGTGGGGTTAGGAAGATGCAGACAGGACTGTGGTCCCCTAGTATTACAGCAGGACACATGATTTCTCCTCAAGGGCCTTCAGGAGGAGCAGTGATTTCTGGCGGGGGAGACTGTCGAGCCACATGGAACAAGCCCTTGGGAAAGTAGGCAGAGGGGAGTTTATTTAAACTGTCCTCTACTTTCTAGGGGAGAAACTTTCCCTAAACACTCCCATCTTCTGCCCTTCCCTGTCACTCACTCCTTTTTGGGAGGTGGTGTGACTGATTGAGTGTGTGATGAAGAATTGGACGAAGGTAGCTCAGCACCTTCTCCTGCACGTCAGCTGCCTGTAGGAAGTGCAGAGTCTGGTCTGCCTTCCCACGGTGTCATTTCACGGGGGCAGCCCTCACAGGAAAAGGTCTCTAGGTTTTCATTTTGACCTGGAACCCAGTGGGTAAGCCTGCCTGTTTCTGGGTCTCAGAGACCCGGTATTAGGAAGTGCTTTGTCACCACTCACCAAAGCCATATTCTTCCCACCGCTGCATCAGTATAACAGACATTTAATCTTCATCAGTCATCTGTCTTAGAATGTAGGCTGGGAAAAGAGGGATGGATACTTTATTTTTATTTTGAGACAGGGTCTTGCTGCACTGTCACCCTCCAGTGGTGCGATCATGGCTTACTGCCTTGACTTCCTAGGCTCAAGTGATCCTCCCACCTCAACCTCCCAAGTAGCTAGGATTATAGGCGCACACTACCATGCCTGGCTAATTTGGTTTATTTTTTATAGAGACGAGGTCTCTTCATGTTGTCTAGGCTGGTCTCAAACTATTGGGCTCAAGTGATCCTCCCACCTTGACTTCCTAAAGTACTGGGATTACAGGTGGGAGCCACTGCACCTGCCTGGAGGGGAGGGATACTTTAATCACCACCAACAGCAGCTGCTCTTTCCTTCATCAGAGACTTTACGGAACCTGAGACGTGTTTGGCTGTGGGTGCCAAACACATGGAAGGTGCATTTCTAGCTCTCCAACAGCTCACTTTAGGCTGCAGCAGACAAGTGACCAGGCCTCGTGTGTGCTCTGTAAATGTAGGCGCAAGGTATTATGGGAGCGTCTAGGAGGGGTACCTAGTCCAGGTCAGCCTCAGGACTGAGGTTTTAGGAGATGTGAGATAACTTCTCTATTTCTGTCCTTTTATTGGGTATTTCTGGTAGTTTAAATAAATGGCAGAGTAAGAAATGATCACACATAAGATGTTTGGGGGCAACTGCAGTGAAGTGGAGTGCCCAGGACCACACAGCTGCTGTGTGGCGAAGCCGGGACACAGACAATGGGACCAGGGCTGTGGGGGTTGGAAAAAAAAAGTAGAAGTCATAAATCTGTCCTCAACAAGGTGTCATCTTAGAGAGCAAAAGGCATAAATGCATTCTCAAAGGCTGAGGATTTTGAGTCGCATTGTTTTCTTGGGAAGGACTCATTAAGGGGTGTTGGAGGGTATTGAGCAGCCATGAAATGAGAGGGCTGCACAAAAGACAGTGCTGGCTGAGTTCTGCTTTTGGAAAATGGCTAAAATGGCTTGTTCCTCTGACACCTGAGGTGATTTCTTTTTCCCCTGGCTGTAGCCTAAGTTTAGAAGCTTGAGGCCTTAAGGTTCTTTATATTGTTCAAAGATAGGAGAGCAGGTCCGTATTAAAAACTGAAAAACACTGTGATGCTATAGAAATCACAGTTTAAAAAACTCTGCTTGTGTGCATCAAAATCAACTGTGGACTTAAAAGCAGAAAGCAAAATTAAAATCCCAGATGCTCGGGCCCAGAATTTTGGAAACTGGGGACTAGGTAGTTTCTCTTAGAAAGGTGCAAGGTGATTATGATATAAAGCCAGAGCCGAGGACCACTGACTGATAGTATTATATTTTGTTCAGGCAGTTTAAAAATTTTTCTTAGGCCGGGCACGGTGGCTCACGCCTGTAATCCCAGCACTTTGGGAGGCCGAGGTGAGTGGATCAGCTGAGATCAGGAGTTCAAGACCATCCTGGCCAACATGGTGAAACCCCGTCTCTACTAAAAATACAAAAGTTAGCTTGATCTCAGCTACTCAGGAGGCTGAGGCAGGAGAATCGCTTGAAACCGGGAGGTGGAGGTTGCAGTGAGCCGAGATCGTGCCATTGTACTCCAGCCTGGGTGACAACAGCGAGACTCTGTCTCAAAAAAAAAAAAAAAAAAATTTCTTATATCCTTTACCAGTATGTGCTTTTCAGCCTTTTGTCATCACCCCTAAGGAGTCTTTTTAGACCTTTTTTTTCTAATCATCCCTGTGGAATGTGGAGTTAGATAAACTATATATTCACTTATATACTGCATGCATATCTGTGCTTTATACATACAATTAGAGCTAGATTTTTTTCTTCACTTTGGGGGGCAATACTCCCCACAGTGAGACTGCACGCTGTAGCAGAAGAGAGGTCTTTGAAGACTCCTAAAGATGAACATGGACATTTTTTCCTCATAGATATAACTTGAGTGATGGCCGGGCATGGTGGCTGATGCCTGTAATCCCAGCACTTTGGGAGGCTGAGACAGGTGGATCACTTGAGGTCAGGAGTTCGAGACCAGCCTGGCCAACATGGACATGGTGAAACCCCATCTCTACTAAAAATACAAAAATGAGCTGGGCGTGGTGGCCGGCGCCTGTAATTCCAGCTACTCGGGAGGCTGAGACGGGAGAATTGGTGAACCCGGGAGGCAGAGGTTGCAGTGAGCTGAGATTGCGGCACTGCACTCCAGCCTGGGCAACAGAGCGAGACTCTGTCTCAAAAATAAATAAATGAAAATAAAAATAACATGAGTGGAATAATAATGATTATGATTGAGGGTGAGCTGTGAGGAGCACTTTGCTGACTACTTGATTTAATTCTTACAGCTATTCTGAGTTAGGTACTGTCAATATTTCTGAAACACACGGAGGTTAGGTAATTTGCCTAGGGTCACAAAACTAGTCTTACTCAAGTTAAGATTCAAACCCATATAGACAGATTTCAGAGGCTGTGCTCTTAACCCCTTCACTCTGCTGCCTCTCATGACTCCGAATCTCAGAATTGCATCGTCATAAAAAGCCTTCATGGAATCTGGAACCTTGCATTATTGGAAGCTCACTTTGTGCCTTTGTAACTTAACAGTTGTAGCCATCTGTTCTCCCTCTCTCTTCCACGTGGACTGTCAGGCTTTTCCCATAGTGAAGCAGATGATGATGGGATATTGGATTGAGTTGGGAGAATGGGAAAGGGACTTCAGTCCCCAAGTCCAGCTGGGGTGGAGGGAAGGGGTTGTCCAGGTTGCCTGACACTGGCTGAATCAGATCACAGGCAGACTTGGAAGGGAGTCAAAAGGCATTGGCATTGAGGGTGAGGTGGTGGGTAGAAGATATTTTGAAAATGGGGGAATTTCATTTAGGAATCTTTTATGAGAGAAAATTTGAATTATAAAGTCCACTTAACTTGGAGGAATGAAGTTTCCCAGTGATAAACTTCTTTAATCCTGTCACACTCAAAACTTCAGAAACAACCAGAAAGCCACTATCTTCCTTGTATTTTTGTTTTATGTTATGTTATGTTATGTTATGTTATGTTATGTTATGTTATGTTATGTTATGTTGTTATTTTATGGAGACAGAGTTTCACTCTTGTTGCCCAGGCACTCCAGGCTGGAGTGCAGTGGCGCCATCTCAGCTCACTGCAGCCTCTGCCTTCTGGGTTCAAGCGATTCTCCTGCCTCATCCTCCCAAGAAACTGGGATTACAGGCATGCGCCACCATGCTTGGCTAATTTTGTATTTTTAGTAGAGATGGGGTTTCTCCATGTTGGTCAGGCTGGTCTGACCTCAGGTGATCCGCCTGCCTCGGCCTCTCAAAGTATTGGGATTACAGGCGTGAGCCAGTGTGCCCGGCCTCTTCCTTGTATTTTTAAAGAAAATGCATTGTCGTGATCAGACTTTTCCCTTGGTTGGTTGGCTGATGAGAGTGTATATGTAAATGCATGTATTTCAGGTCTGTCTTTTCATTCTTTCCTGAGTTGTGTGTCTCTTTTTCTGACCCCCATCTTCCATAGATTGAGACTTTCTGAAAGTCTGGATTGTTTAAGTATGGCTTTCTGTGCACCACTTGATATTCTTAGAAGTAGATTTTTTTTTTTTTTTTTTTTTTTTGAGACAGAGTCTCACTCTGTCGCCTGGGCTGGAGCGCAGTGACGTGACCTTGGCTCACTGCAACCTCTGCCTCCCGGGTTCAATTGATTCTCCTGCCTCAGCCTCCCGAGTAGCTGGGACTATAGGCATGTGCCACCACACCTGACTAATTTTTTATTTTTAGTAGAGACGGAGTTTCACCGTGTTGGCCAGACTGGTCTTGAACTCCTGATCTCAGGTGATCCAGCAGCCTCGGCCTCCCAAAGTGCTGGGATTACAGGAGTGAGCCACAGTGCCCAGCCTCTTAGAAGTAGATTTTTAAGCTGTTAATGAAAACTTTTAAGATACCCGATGATTCATTAAGTGCTGTCAGCCCTCTTACTGTTTTTATCTCCACAGCTGGTTTGTCTGTGGCAGTGCCTTGTTGCTCGTCAGCTTATCAATTGCGTTTTACTGCATAGTCTACCTGGAATGGTATTGTGGAATTCGAGAATATGATGTCAGGTATCCAGCCTTGATACCTATTACCACTGCCTCCTTTATTGCAGCAGGAATTTGGTAAGTTAACTTTGAAATGACTAACAGGAATGAACAACAAATTTTTTTTGATCAGATAGTGATATACTTGGTCCAAACTTTGAAAGAAAAACGGTATAACAGAAAAGTAGTCTCCTGGTCATTCATGCTCTCTGGTTGCCTTTTCATTAGTATCTCTTTCTCCTTCTATTTATGGATCTAGTTATTTAAAGCACAGATGGTGACATTCTGTACATATTTTGCATTTTGCTTTTTAAATGTATCTGACATGCAATACATATAGAAAAGTGGAAAAAACTAAAATGAATGAATTAGTGAATGAATTCTCATGAAGTGAGTATTGGTGTAAATCGAGCCAGCACACTGGGAACCCCCTTCATTCTCCCTCATAGTTCCTACACCTTCCCTCCTGCCACAGGTAAATACTGCCCTGACCTTCATGGTAACTATTTGCTTTGCTTCATTAGGTATTCTATTTTTGTTTCAGCTACGCTTTTGAACTTTATAGAAAGGGATTGGTACAGGGTGTATTCCTTCACATTGAGCTGGCTGTGTGCAGCATTATGTGCAGTTCTTTCATATCGTCGCCTGGAACAGTGACTCATCTTCATTGCCCTTTTGCATTCCATTGTTTAATTGAATCCCAGTTTCTCTTTTCCATTGTTGATTGTGTTTAGATTTTTTTCAATTTGGGGTTACTATAAAGGATGCTATAAAGAGCATTCTTGTATAAGGCTCTTGTAGCACCAACTGAAGTTGGTGTGTGTGTATATGTGTGTGTGTGTGTGTGTATATATATATATATGTACCCCAAGGGGTAAAATTGTTGAGTGTACATACCTTTGACTTCAGTAAATCATGCCAAACTGCTTTCCAAAGTGGTTGTTCATCTTTTTTTTCCTTTTATTTTTCAATGGATTCTTATAGTTTGGGATTCTTCCATAATGGTACTTATAGATGTTTCTCATTCTTTTACGCAGTTGCATAGTTTTCACAGCATGGACATACCATGATTTATGTAACCTGTCTTCTGCTGTTGGACTTAATTATATTTATACTCAAACAATGCCACAGTGAATAACCTTCTTCATAAGTTAATTAAGTACTCAATGAAAAGTACAGGGTTTTTTGGGTTTGTTTATAAAAGTAAGACTTGCTCACTGAGGGAAAAAAAAATCTGTAAATTACAGAAAAACACAAAGGAAATACATCCTATGATCCAACCAGAAAGAAAACTAGTTTTCCTATGTTGTGTGTAGCTCTTTAGTTTTTTCTTTCTTTATATCAATTGACTTTTTTTTTTTTGGAGGGAGACAGGGTCTCACTCTGTCACCCAGGCCAGAGTGCAGTGGTGTGATCACAGCTCACTGCAGCCTTGACTTCGCAGGCTTAAGTGATCCTCCTACCTCACTCAGCCTCCTGAGTAGTTGGGACCACAGGCACATACCTCCACACCTGGCTCTTTTTTGTATTTTTTGTAGAGATAGGGTTTCGCCATGCAACTCAGGCTTGTCTCAAACTCCTGGCCTCAAGCCATCTGCTTGTGTCTGCCTCCCAAAGTGCTGGGATTACAGGCGTGCACCATGACCACCCCAGCCTAATTGAATTTTTATTTTGGAAGAACCACATACCTTTATACATATTCAGTTTAAATATATTCTTTCTATGACTCACTTTCTGTAGTTGAAGTTCAAAGTTGTTTGACAGTGTGATACGGTTATTGTTAACTTTTTTAGTGATGTGGCGGCATACAGATATGTTGTTTTACTTTTTCCCATAAGGCTAAGGCCATCTCCAGAAACATTAATTTTGTAGACAGTGTGATTATAGTTATTTAATACTCACACTTATCAAAATATTATATATTAAAACCAATAACTATCTGAACTTATTTGAATATAGTTTTCCCTATTCTGTTCTTAGAAATTTCAGTCATTAAAAATCATTTATACTTAGAAAGTTTTTAATTTTACTTTGATGACAGGAATAGTGTTTTTCTCAATGAAAGATATAATAGCAGCTTATAAATGATAACTGTTTTCATTCTGTTTTTAAGAGAAAATACTTTGATATTTTTTACCGTGATAATTTAGTGTGTGATTTCATAAAAACGAGCTGTAGCCATTTAAATTCTTGTTCAGGTGCAGAAACTAAGAGACTTCAGTTTCTGTTAAGCCATGTCAAGTCCTATTAGGAGACCTTTAGTGGTTTCAGTTCCAGGGCCTTCTTGAAGAAATTGTGATAATTGTGTGAGTATATCTAGAGTTTTCCTTTTCAGCATTGGCTAAGTCACGTAAGAGAATTATGATACATGGAGACAGTTGCTGACTGGATGAACTTTTCCACATTGAATTCTTTAAATCTAGATTCTAGAGTAAAATATATTGATGCATATCAGAGTCGTCAACTGTTTATTTGTTGTTTTTTCAGCTTCAACATTGCTCTATGGCATGTGTGGTCATTTTTCACTCCGTTGTTGTTGTTTACCCAGTTTATGGGGGTTGTAATGTTTATCACACTCCTTGGATGATTTTTGAAGGTAAGATATCTGGAATGGTTTTTCTAAAAATGAACTCGTTTGAAAAATGTCTTTTATGACAATTTTGTTGTCCACACTAGAATTATCCGTCCGTTGACCTCTGAGATAGAAGGGATTGAGACTCTTTTTTTTTTTTTTTTTGTAGACAGGGTCTTACTCTGTTGTCCAGGCTGGAGTATAGTGGCATGATCACAGCTGACTGCAGCCTTGACCACCTGGGGGCTCAAGCAATCCTCCCACCTCAGCTTCCCAAGTAGCTGGTATTACAAACATGTGCTACCATGCTTGGCTAATTTTTAAAAAAATGTTTTGTAGAAACAGAGTCTCCCTATGTTGCCCAGGCTGGTGGGGATGGGGGACTGAGACTCCTCCTTTTGAAAAAGTTGGTTCTAAGTTACAACTTTTTAGAAAAGGTACACTGCCTTTCAAAGACCTCATAAAGACAGGATTTGCACCTTCCAATATAGTTAAATTCACACATTCGACCATTTTATGTTGAGATCATGTTAATTTCTGTCAACTTACATTCAATGACTGTTGGCTAGATCATTCTTAAGAAATGGGAATACAGGAAGAATGGACAATTTTACCCAATTGGGAAAAAAAAATCTGCCATCTTCTAACTGTCCTGACTTCCTCAGAAAAATGTGTTGGAGGACACAATCAGCTTTGGTTTGGTGTTATTCATAGAATTTCTGCCTCCCCGCAGATAACCCCATCCTGAGATCTGCTGCCTTACACAGTGGAGGCTGTTTTCTGAGTGTCGGATAACTCTGTTATTAAATAAGTGTATATTGAGAATGCTTACTCCAGATGCCTAGGGGCATAGTGAAAAGGACAAAGTGCCTCCTGTCAGGTCACTTACATCAGAACTTGCAGAAAATCTGCTTTATACAGCAGTTGACAGGTGTGGAAACTGAGGCCTATGGAAATGAAAGTTAATACAGTAAATTTTCAAGATGTTAATGAAAAACTGACATTTCTGCCAACAGCATGCTCTCTCTATGGGATTTAAAGGAAGGTCAGTGGTAACCATGTACAGAAGAAATGGACATAGTCTCATTGTTAGCAGTCTGAAAATAGTTGCTAGCACCTCCATGCCCGTTCCAATGTCTGCAGCCTCCTTCATGCACCCGCTGTGTCTTGGGATCACTGGGAGCCCTCACTGGAGGCCCTTCATTCCTATACACTTGTGGTGCCACAAGCGGCTCTGGGCCTGGAGGAATCCTGCACATCTCAGAACACTTCCTCCCCTGACCCTGTCAGCCATCTGTCTCCTCATGTTCTCAGCCCCTTCTTTGGCTCTTCAATTTTGAGTTTTTACAGATGTTTGGGAGCTCTTTACTCTGACATGAATTTATAATTGGTAATGGAGACTCAGACAGTGTTGTAGATCACAGAGTGAACTATGCTTTTTAGTGTTAAATGCAATAGCTTAAGATAGAATGTTTTCCTTGGTACATAAATGCTGGTTTTCTTTCAGATTTAAGGACATATACTTTTTTTTTTTTTTTTTTTTGAAGAGACAGGGTCTTCTGTGTTTCCAGGCTGGCTTTGAACTCCTGGGATCAAGTGATCCTCCTGCCTCAGCCTTCAAAGTAGTTGGGACTACAGGCCCATGCCACCGTGCCTGGCTGGACATGTAAATTTGAAGTGAATGGTTAAACATCCAGCTAGCTGAAAGTATGGCAGACCCTCACAGAAAAGCTACAGTGTGTTTTTGCAACTATGAAGTGAATGGTTTCCTGGGAAAAATTGTGACTTTGTATAACTGTTGTTGAAATCAGAATAAATTATATTTCACTTGCGTATTCTTAAATTATTAAAATTTTCAGAAGTCAGTGATATAGGAATACTATTTTGCAATGTGAATCCATTTGAATACTTGGAGAAGGTGGTTTCATTATAGGTGCATAATGCACTCTTAATATTTTAAACAAATAGTTCACTCTTCCATTTAAGGGATAGCAGTTCCTTATATAAAATGACTGGATGTGTATAAAGGAATTATGTTGTCATGTGCCTTTAACCAGCTTTAGTAATTACTATAATCTCATATTTATGATAGTTTTGTTAGGTACAGGACCAAATGAAAGTATTTTACGTTTTCCCATCACTTTAGATTTTATCATTGTGTAAATTACTGGGTTTTTAGCATTTCCTAATGTGAAGTTTTAATCATTTTTAAGTATACATATTTTTTTCTGTACTATTTAAATAAAATATTTTTATAACTTTCTTGTGAGTTTTGTTCATGCAAACTTTGGAATAACTTCTGGTTTTTTGCTATTAGCACTTTGAATTAACTATATAAATAACAAGGGCTCTGTTCTTCAAAGACTTTATAAAGACAGTATTTGCACTTTCAAATGCAATATGTCTGCATTTAATCTGAACAGCATAAGCATTGTGACAGAAGGTACCTCATGTTGATTGTTTTCTCTGTAAGGTGACTTCTAATAATGACCTGACTTAATCACCACTTGTGTGTGTGTCTGGTTCAGATCATACCCTGCCATTTACTAGCTGCAAGACCTTCAGCAGTATAGATTTAGTATCCCTAATTTCAAAATCTGAAACTTTTTGATTGCTGACATGACACTCAAAGGAAATGCTCATTGGAGCATTTCAGGTTTTGGAATATAATGCAAATATTCCAAAATCTAAAACACTTCTGGTCCCAAGCATTTCAGAGAAGTAGTAGTCAGCCTGTTGTCTTTTTTCAGCTGTGAAGTGGGAATAATATCTGTCTTATTGTGGGTTGTGGGTAATAGTAATAATGTTTGTGAAACACCAATTACAGTGCCTGACACACAGTAGGTGTCCACTCAATAAATGGTAATGGAGAGGGAAAGAAAGGGAAAGCAGAATCTAGGATCAGGAATATCACATCCGGTTATGACATTTGCAAAAGGGAAAGTCAGGCATGATGAGTAGACAGAAGCAAACCCAGTTTGTGGTCATGGGTATGTGCAGGTGTGGTGAGAGTGTCATTTAAAATAGGGAGCAAGGCCAGGTGAAGGCCATAATCAGGCAGCTGAGTCAGGCAGGGATGAACCAGGCAATGATGTCAGGGTCCAGCATAACTGAGGCTGCAGCTCTGGAAGGTGGGTCATTTCGATCAGATCCCCCGGAGGGAGTTTGGGTGAAGAGTGCCCCATGTCAGCCTTCACACATTTTATATCTGTCTTTTATTATTATTTTTTTTTTCTTGAAGAGTATGCTTACAACATGGATAGAAATCTAAGGCTGGAATGTGTTTAAAACAATTAGTTAAAATCTAGTTTCCCAAGTGCTAATAACTGGCCAATTAGGATGGTATGAAGATTATCCTGTTACTTAAAAAGAGACTTTTTGAGACAGAGTCTTTAACTTGTCATAACATGTCTGAACAGGATCTAGTTTGAGACACTAAAAAGGATAAGACATCAGTTTGGAAAGAGACCACATCAGTGCAACATGAATTCTGCTAAAATCGAAGCAAGAACAAACATCAATTTATTGTGAAGCTTGGGTGAAAAAATGGTGAAATCATTAATACTTCATGAAAAGTTTATGGGAACAATGCCCCAAAGAAATCAACAGCTTACAAATGAATAACTTGTTTTGAGAAGGTAGCAGATGATGTTGAAGAGGAAGCCCTCAGTGAGAGACCTTACACATGAATCTTTGAGGAAAAAATTAATCTTGTTTATGCCCTAATCAAAGAGGACTGATGATTAACAGCAGTTAACAATAGCAGAAACAATAACCAGTGTCATAGACACTGAACAATTGGTTCAGGTTACACAATTCTGACTGAAAGCAAACTTTCTACTTGATGTGCACCAAAACTGTTGTGCCCAGATCAGCTGCAAACAACAGCAGAGCTTTCAATGGAAATTTTAAACAAGTGGGATCAAAATCCTGAAGCATTTGTTCAAAAAATTGCAACAGGATATGAAACATGGATTTCCTAGTACTATTCCTGAAGACAAAGCACAATCAAAGCAATGGCTACCAAGAAGTGGAAGTGGGTCAGTCAAAGCAAAAGCAGACGAGTCAAGAGCACAGGTCATGGCAACAGTATTTTGGGGCTCAAGACACTTTGCTTGTTGACTTTCAGGAGGACCAAAGAATGGTAACATCTGCTTATTATGAGAGAGTTTTGAGAAAGCCAAAACTTTAGCAGAAAATTCTTGGGAAAGCTTCAGCAGAGTCCTCCTCCACCACGACAATGCTTCTGCTTATTCCTGTCATCAAGGGCAATTTTGGGAGAATTTTGGTGGGAAATCATTACAGTCCCGATTTGGCTCCTCCTAACTTCTTTTCGTTTCCTAGTCTTAAAAATTCTGTAAAGGGTACCCTTTTATCTTCAGTTAATGTGTAAAAGACTGCATTGATATGGTTAAATTCTCAGGACCTTCAGTTCCTTAGGGATGGGCTACATGGCTGTATCACGACTTACAGAAGTGTCTTGAACTTGATGGAGCTTCTGTTGAGAAATAAAGTTTATATTATTATTTTTAATTCATTTTTTCCAAATTTTGAAGTCCGAGGGTACATGTGGAATGGCTAGATTGAGTTCATTAATATATGCATTACTTTGCATACTTATTTTTTGTGGTGAGATTTCTTAAAATCTACTCTCTTCACAATTTACTATGTGTACAATAGGTCTCTTGAACTTACTCTTCTTAACTGAAATTTGGTACCCTTTGACAAATATCTCCCAACCCCCGAATTCCCCCTGCTGCCCAGTCCCTGGTAGCCACTATTCTACTCTCTTACTATATGACCTCAGCTTTTTTAGATTCTACATATAAATGAGATCATGTGGCATTTGTCTTTCTGTGCTTGGCTTATGTCACTTAACATAGTATCTTCCAAGTTCATATCCATATTGTTGCAAATGTCAGGATTTCCTTTTTTTTTTTTTCTTTTTTTGAGACAGGGTCTGGCTCTGTCACCGAGGCTGGGGTGCAGTGGCACAATCTCAGCTCACTGAAACCTGGACCTCCCAGGCTCTAATGATCCTCCTACCTCAGCCTCCCAAGTAGCTGGGACTACAGGTGCGCACCACTGGGTCTGGCTAATATTATTATTATTATTATTATTTTGACACAGAGTTTCACACTTGTTGCCCAGGCTGGAGTGCAGTGGCGCGATCTCGGCTCACCCGCAACTTCTGCCTCCCGGGTTCAAGTGATTCTCCTGCCTCAGCCTCCTGAGTAGTTGGGATTATAGGCATTTTTACTAGAGATAGGGTTTCTCCATGTTGGTCAGGCAGGTCTCGAACTCCCGACCTCAGGTGATCCACCTGCCTCGGCCTCCCAAAGTGCTGGGAGTACAGGCGTGAGCCACCGTGCTCAGGCTTTTTTTATTTTTTCTTTACTTTTTGTAGAGTTGAGGTTTTGCCATGTTGCCTAGCTGGTCTTGAACTCCTCGGCCCAAGCGGTCCACCCACCCTGGCCTCCCAAAGTATCGGGATTACAAGCGTGAGCCATTGTACCTGGCCGTTTCCTTCCTTTTAAGGCTGAATGAATAGTATTCTGTTGTGTATGTATACAATGTGTATACATACACACATTTTCTTTGTCCATTTATCCATTGATGGATGCATAGGTTAATTGCATATCTTGACTATGATTTGTGTGTTATGGCTTGAATTTTCTCTCACCAGAAGATCTGTTGAAATCCTAACCCCTGGTCCTCTGATTGTGGCCCTATTTGGAAATGGAATCTTTGTAAATTAAGTTGTAAATTACAATGAAGTCATACTGGAGTAGGGTGGGCCCTTAACCCATTATGACTGGTGTCTTTATAAGAAGAGGAAAAGAGACACAGATACAGAGGAAAGATGGTTAAATGACAACAGAGGCAAGGATTGGAGTGATACAGCTACAAGGGAAGGAATGCTAAGGGTTGCCAGCAACCAGCAGAAACTGGAAGAGGCCAGCGCTGCTGGAGCCTTCAGAGGGAACTTGGCTCTTCTGACACCTAGATTTTGAACTTCTGGCCTCCCAAACTGTGAGAGAATAAATTTTCATTGTTTTAAAGCCACCCAGTTAGTGGCACTTTGTTACACCCATCCTAAGAAATGAATACACTTGGCTGTGCTTGGTGGCTCACGCCTGTAATCCCAGGACTTTGGGAGGCCGAGGTGGGTGGATCACGAGATCAGGAGTTCAAAACCAGCCTGGCCAGCATGGTGAAACCCCCATCTCTACTAAAAATACAAAAAATTAGCCAGGCGTGGTGGTGTGCACCTGTAATCCCAGCTACTTGGGAGACTGAGGCAGGAGAATCACTTGAACCCAGGAGGCAGAGGTTGCAGTGAGCCACGATCACGCCACTGCACTCCAGCCTAGGCGATAGAGTGAGATTCTGTTCCAAAAAAAAAAAAAAGAAAGAAAAGAAACGGATACACTAACTCTTTTGTTTTTAAAAATACTGGAATTACATAGCTACCACCAAAGGTGACTGGGGGCAAAATGTTCTAATTGACCCTTGAGACCTTCTATTATCTCTGGTAGCTGAGTGTGCCAGGGGGCCTCTGGCCTTGTGAAATCCCATCATCTTCACTGGAAGAAGGGAGCTCATGCGATCTTTAAAAAGTCAGGAAACAACAGGTGCTGGAGAGGATGTGGAGAAATAGGAATGCTTTTACACTGTTGGTGGGACTGTAAACTAGTTCAACCATTGTGGAAGACAGTGTAGCGATTCCTCAAGGATCTAGAACTAGAAATACCATTTGACCCAGCAATCCCAATACTGGATATATACCCAAAGGATTATAAATCATGCTACTATAAAGACACCTGCACATGTATGATTATTGCAGCACTATTCACAATAGCAAAAACTTAGAACCAACCCAAATGTCCATCAATGATAGACTGGATTAAGAAAATGTGGCACATATACACCATGGAATACTATGCAGCCATAAAAAAGGATGAGTTCATGTCCTTTGTAGGGCCATGAATGAAGCTGGAAACCATCATTCTGAGCAAACTATCACAAGGACAGAAAACCAAACACCGCATGTTCTCACTTGTAGGTGGGAATTGAACAATGAGAACAACTTGGACACAGGGTGGGGAATATCATGCACTGGGGCCTCTTGTGGGGTAGGGGGACAGGGGAGGGATGGCATTAAGAGAAATACCTAATGTAGATGATGAGTTACTGGGTGCAGCACACCAACATGGCACATGTATACATACGTAACAAACCTGCACGTTGTGCACATGTAC